CTACCTTAATACTAAATCTATAAATGTAGGCTCATAGATCTATTTCCCCATCCTCATATAATATATTTGTATATGTACATGTCTTTATCGAGAGCTCTATAAATACCCTTTGCCTCCCAGCTCTTTCCTCTATTTCCATTGATTCTCCTCCTGTCCCACTATCATGCTCAGTCCCCAACTCTCAGCATTCTTCCAGAGGAATTTTCTCCACATTATTTGACCCACTGGTTTTATCATATCTTATATTTTCAAAATACTTTCTTCTTTTTAAGATTAACACTGTGCTCGGAGACCATCAAGAGCAATTGACACCATACAGCATATGAACACAATGTTTTAAATTCTAGTTTGGTAAAGTAGCCTCTAGGGTCTGAAACATTCTGAACAGCCAGCTAATATACAACTATTGGTCTCTTTCTAACAAGAGCAAACAAAGGAGAGTGAAGAAAGCAGACTCAAAGAGGAAATTAGTCCAAAGACTAATGGCCCACAAGAACCAGTCTCCTTTGGCTGGAAGGTAAAAGGGGGAAATGGTGCCCAGCTACACTATTGACAATTGTAGCCAGGGACACAAAGGAATATCCCAGTTAATGGGAGGAAATTATAGGGCAAAACTCAAACTCATACGAAAGGCCAAATTAATTGGTCTGACAAAGACTGAAAGTACAAGATTATTACCCTAACTTCACCCTTTTAATGCGGAACTGTAGCAAATCCCAAAGGTCACCTCTTCACCAAGTAACAGAACTAAAATATAAACAAAACCCCTAAGAGGAATGTGCTCCTTAAAACAGTCAACTAAAGGGGTAACATCTGTCCAAAATTAAAAAAAGAGATGTGAAGGCAGAAAGGGACAGGAAAACCTGATTCATGCAAACAGGGAGCTCAAGGGAGAAATAGGGGGACACTAACAGAATGCGGAGGTTGTAGCCAAGGTCACGGAACAATGTGTGTAAGAATTATTGAATGGAAATCTGATTTGTAAATAGAAACTTTCACCTAAAGCACAATAAAACCGTCTAAAATACAATAACACCATGAAAGGCAAAGTACAATTTTCTAATTAAATTTAAAAGTTGGCAAGCATACAATGTATGCAACTCTTACATATTTTAAGGGAGTAAATTTCTTGTTGTTTTCTACCTAAAATGATTGGTTTAAAGTAAAAGGCAAGTTTAAAAAACAACAGCCACAGCAACAAACATCAACTCTTCTCTCAAGCTTTTAAAAGACCCATGAGCCAATGCTTCAATCCAGTTTTTGACTGAAAACACTCAAGCAAAAGAACTGGTTTTGATAAGACAACAGATTTGGAAGCCTGGGCAGTATACAAATGCTTAAACTCCCCTGGTAATACTTTATTAATTCACCATCAGGGTTCAATCTACTGCTTACCTTGGTGAGACAGTGCGCTGCCACTGCTACTCCAAGGTAATTCCTTAATGCATCCCCCAAAATTCAGGAAATTTAAAAAGTTCTATTCAAGAAAAATATTTTGATGTTCATTATCACAAATAATATAAGATCAAGTTTTGTCTGCTATCATCAACATATTTCTGAGTACTGAGATATAAAAAACCTAAGAAACAAAACAAACTACCCACCCCCCGGAAGCCCAAACAAAGACAATTTATTTAAACTACAGCACTACTTCATAGAGCACTAGAACAAAATACCAAGAAAATAATAGACTAAAGACAGTTCTCTCAACCCTACGTTCTCTCTAGGACATTTGCTTTTTGTGGGAAGTGTCTGACATTTATGAAACAACAAAACAAAACTTAACTCTCTCACAAGAAAGAAAACAACAAAGGCCAAGTGACTTAAAACTTCCAGAGAATCTAGGAAGTATAGGTGCCAAAGTGGCGCTGAGGGTAAGTAAATCAGTCAGTGAGAGGAGACACCACCAGACCCACAGAAAAGAGGGTGCAGCCTTCCGTCTGAGACCAGCTTGTCACTGGAGAACCCTTAGGGACCTTGAACTACGAGAGAAGGCAGGCAGGAACAAAGAGAGGGCGGGAAGGAAGGAGAAAGTAGACAGCACGTATGCTAGGGCTAGAGACAGGGCAGAAGGAGGTGAGAGAGCTGGATGTAAACACTCAGGAGGAAGAACAAAAGTCAACAAAAAGAAAGCTTGTTACAAGACACAGAGAAGTAGCTTGTCCCAAAGGTAACGTGCCATTGAAACTAGAAATCTCCCAAGGATGCTGGAGTTGCCCAAGAAGCTACTTTTAACAAAGGTTTAACAAACCCACTCGTCTTAGAAAGTCTGGTTCTTACAGTGAAGTGGCACCAAAATACATTTTTAAGCTATGTTTTCAACTATATTCCTTTATTATACTTAATTATAGATACTATAACATAAGATTTTGTTTTAGCCAGATTTTGTTTGATAAGTTCTAAGCATACATTTTAATTGACATTTTGTTTTTTAATCCTCAAATAAAATATTGACACTTTTTGTTGGTTTTAATGACAAAACAAATAGCTTCTGGTGACCTACAGAAATATAAGAAATAAAGCTACTGATATATGCAACTTCTCAAATGAATTATGTCAATCTGGGTACCAATGAAAGTTAAAACATGATCTGAAACAAGTAGCTTGTTTTACGATACAGAACTGGTGCAGTAAATGAGCCGTAGTTATTGGAAATATAAAAATTAAATTAAGGAAAGGTACTTAGTAAACATTTGGTATCAAGAAGAACTGATGAAATTCTATGAGGGCAGATGATATGGAAAATGTGTGAGGATTTTGCTCTTGCTTGGTCTCCATGTCTTTAGAAAGCGAGGGTTCAACCTGAACGTTCATGAGGGTTCTTTAAAAATGCCTGAAGCTCTGAAACCACGATCACAGAGTCCAATCTTCTTTCCATGTCTTACAGAAAAGATCTTAAAGTCACTTGATGGCGTTTCTTATACCATTCCTATGACTGGGCGGCTCAATCACTATTAGGACTTACTTTTCCTTTGACTTCAAAGTATATTTTTACATTCCTCCACCAGGTAAAGACACTTCTCACAACGCTGTGAAGGCTTTGTCATCAAATATCTAACCATGTGCTAAATGCTTAATTTAGCCAGAACCAATCCGTACCTAGATTCTGTTGTTAGAGCGGTGCCTGAGAGGTCTGGGTCTCGGGATTTGGCGTTCTGCATGTTTTTTCTGATTGTTCATGTTCTCCTCTAGTCAACGGCCTTCCACTGCCACGACCCTTCCCCTCCTCCTTTCCTTTCCTCATAATAGACACATCACACACAAAAAGAGTATCAACCCAACTCTGTATACATGTATGTCTGCATCTCTCGCGCGCGCACTCACCCAACACCAGTTGAAGCACACGCATCCCAGAAGAGGAGGGGTAACCCGACAAAAACAGAGCTGTGGCGGACCACTGCGACTCACCGGACGGTTCTTCCGGCTCACTCTCATTTTCTTCCTCAGGCGGTGCTTGGGGGGGCGGGGGCGGAAGCTTCTTTTCCTTCTCTGCTTTAGCATTTCTCTCTTCTTCTGAATAATATTCGTCTTCTGAGAGGTTGGCCAGGCTTTCATCCATCTCTCTGTACTCTACCTGTATGGAAATCATACCGGGGAAAGCTAAATACAGTGAACAAGTATCTATTTGGAATCATCAATGAATGAGAATTACTGACTTAATTTTTAAGGGAAATACGCAGCAAATATCAGGAACAGACTAATCATAGGTAGTTATTTTTTAAAAAGCCTTCATGAAAAATTCATGTCTCAATTCAGATTTAGCCCAATCCACAACTTTTATTACATCGGGATGCTGACAATTAGATCACTGACGCTGGGGTGCTACAACCCCTGAACTCGACCCTCCTCCTCACCCCCAATAAGTTTCAACAAGAGTACAGTAATCCTCATATAACAAAAATAGACAACCAAGATAACCGGTCTATCCAGTGAGTGCCAACACTGTGCTAACAAATATTTCATGGGGAAATCGCAAAGAACTGGAGAAACTAGCGGGGGGGATAAAAGTTGCAAATAGCAACAGTCAAAATGAAAAGGAGTACTGTTTAAAAAATAATTGGCAACCTAAGAGAGTTGAATGATCAGCTAAGAAATTCTATTAAAACTAATTAAGGAGTAGTAAGTGATGTGAATAAGAAAAGAAGCATCATTGATGCCTTTGAATTATGCTGTTGGAGGATACTGAAGTTCCCATAGACTACCAGGAAAACAAAGAATTCTGATTTGGGCTGGGTACAGCCTTTAGAAGTGAGGTCAGCAAGACTTTATGCCACTCCTTTGGACATGCTATGAGGAGGGACCAGTCCCACACAAAAAGGCTATCATGCGTGGAGAGGGCAGAAAAAGACCGCAAGGCCATGATCGCCAGGCACGTGGCTGCAATAGTGGCTCAACCTTCTCCGTGGTGAGGATGGCACAAGCCAGGCGTGTTTCCTCAGTCGCACAAGGAGTCATCGTGAGTTGGGACTGGCTCACAATAAAGACCCAACAATAAAGACAAAACAAATGATGTAGAAATAGAAACTTCAGGTCTAACCACTAATTCAAACTCGGTCACACAGCTAAAGAATCAAATCAGTAGTGCAAAGAGGAAGACATTTTAGTGAATACTTTATTGGGGATAAAGAAGCATAGGCTGAGGCAGATTAGAAAATGAATCTCTGTAACAGTGGCCACAATGGCATTACACAACAGTCGTCAACACTGGAGCATTGGCAAACTGCCAGTGTGATCCCATCGTCATGGATTCCAGGAAGGCATAGAAATGACCTATTGTGCACTAAACTAAAAGTGCCCCATGACCCATGGAAACAGCAAAGATAACGGGCTTTCCCACATATCACATACCTAATTTATTCTAATGGGAACCAATGACTGATCCTGTGGATACGATCTATTTTAACTTTGAAAATATCTCTGAAATAGTTCCATATAAACTGTGTGTGACCTCCTCCCTGGGGGACAGACAACCGAAAAGTGGGTGAAGGGAGACGTCGGACAGGGCAAGATATGACAAAATACCCACTTATAAACTATCAAGGGCTCATGCGGGAGGGGGGAGCGGGGAGGGAGGGGAAAAATGAGGACCTAATGTCGGGTGTTTAAATGGAGAGAAAATGTTTTGAGAAACGATGTACAAATGCGCTTTACAAAATTGATGTGTGTATGGATTGGGATAACAGTTGTATGAGCCCCTAATAAAATGTTAAAAAAGAAAAAAAAAGAAAATCACTCCAGTCGATTCTGACTCATAGCGACTTATTAAGACAGTAGAACTGCCCATATTTCTGAGACTGTAACTCTGACGGGAGTAAAAAGACTCCCTTTTTTCCTGAAGGGTGGCTGGTGGTTTCGAACTGCTGAACTTGCAGTTAATAGGCCAACGTAGATGCAAAACAAAACCCCAAAGCAGTGAGACCTCATCCTCATTAGATTGTAAGTATCAAAAAAGCAGGTGTTGCTGAGGGCATGGAAAACAGCACAGCCACAGGAGTTTTAACAGAACACAAGCTGAACCAAGAACTACCTATATGACCCAGCAATCCCAGCAATCCCAGTCCTCCGTTTACACCCAGAAGGGACGGCAGGAGCACAAGCAACAGTGTTTCCTGAAGCACTGTTGACACGAGCCAAAAGACGGAACCACCAACATGCCCACTAACAGAGTGGACAAACGTCTGTGGTGCATACATGCGACAGCTTACACAGCCAGAAAGAGAAACAAACTTTTGATACATGCCACAATATGAATAAGCCCGGAAACTTATGCGAAGAGAAATTTATCAGTCACAAAAGGCAAATACTGTATGATCTCATATACATGTAATAAACAAACAGAGAGCAAAAGGGCAGACTTTTCTGTTTGGGAGGTACAGATTTATGCTGATGGCAAAAGAACATTTTCAAAAAAGAGTGACACTGGAATACAAGGTGAAACTGTAATCAATGTCACTGAACTGTGCCAGAGAAGGTGCACTGGCATGTTTGGGTGTGTAGATCTTCATGATTAAAACTATAAAGAGGAGAAAAAAGTTAAGCATAGAATTAATATAAGGCCTAATAAATTCCACTCGTACATGCATGGCTCAACATAACTGAAAACTGAAAACATGTCATCTCACAATAATACATTGAAGTTTATGACAGTAGTTTGTATAACAGTGACCAGTAGAAATCTGCCCAATAGTCCACCAACCTAAGGAAAAGTGGTATACAGCCGTGCAAGGACATAAAGAGGACTGAAGTGCCGGTCAAGGTAACAAGCATAAAAGCAGCAAACACAAAAGGCCCCATATTATACAAGAGCATTTAAATGAAATGTCCATTATTGCTTGCCAAGACCTGGGGGAGAGAGGAGGGTGGGTTTCTTCGCAGGGATAACAATATTCTGGAAGTAAAGGTGACAGCCGCACAACTCCAAGAATCTACTGATTCGTACCTTTAACAATGGTATGCAAATTACCTCAGTGAATCTTTTTAAAAATCAGAGAGCGCCTTTTCTGCTTTCAACACACTTTTTTTTTTTTTTTAAATCTTTATCATTTTGTTGGGAGCTCTTACAGCTCTTGTAACAACCCAGAGATCAACTGTATCAACTACACTTGTGCATATGTTGCCATCATCATTCTCAAAGCATTTTCTTTCTACTTGAGCCCTTGGTATCAGCTCCTCTTTTTTTCCCTCCCTCCCACCCCCATGAACCCTTGATAAATTATTTTCTTATGTTACACTATCCACTGTCTCCCTTATGTTTCTGTTGTCTGTCCCCCTTTGGGGGGTGGGGGGTGGGGGTAATACGTTGATCATTGTGATCAGTTTCCCCCCTTTCTTCCCCTACCCTCAGGGTATCGCTACTCCCATTACTGTTCCTGAAGGGTTTAACTGTCCTGGATTCCATGTGTCGAGGGCTTTTATCAATACCAATGTACATGCTCTGGTCTAGCCGGATCTGAAAGGTAGAACTGGGTCATGATAGTGGGGGTGGGGGTGGGGGTAGGATTAAAGAACTAGAGCAGCGGTTCTCAACCCATGGGTCAGGGGCCCTTTAGGGGTTGAATGCCCCTTTCACAGGCATCGCCCAATTCATAACAGTAGCAAAATGACAGTTATGAAGTAGCAACAAAAGTAATTTTATGGTTGGAGGGTCACCACATGAGGAACTGTATTAAAGAGTCATGGCATTAGGAGGGTTGAGAACCACTATCTAGAGGAATGCTGTGTTTCATCAATGCTATTCTGCACCCTGGCTGACTCGTTCCTTCCTTGTGACCCTTTTGTGAGGGGATGTCCAACTGTCTATAGGTCTCCACTCCAACCCTCCTCATTCGCCTCGACAAGACTTTATTTTGCCTCTTCCAATGCCTGATACCGGTTCCCATCGACACCTCATAATCACACAGGATGGTGTGCTTTTTCCATGTGGGCTTTGTTGCTTCCCTGCTACATGGCCGCTTGTATAACTTCAATCCTTTAAGACCCCAGATGCTAAATCGTCTAATAGACATAATAGTCAGACATCATCAGCTGTCTTCACATTTGCTTATGCACCCATTTTGTCTTTAGCAATCGTGTCAGGAAGGTGAACATCAGAGAATGACAGGTTATTAGAACAAAGAGTTCTTGCATTGAGGGAGGGCTTTGAGTAGAGCTCAAATGTCCATCTGCTACCTTAATACTTAACATACATGTGCATTGACCGATATGCTTATCATTATATATTATTTGCATATATACATGCCTATAATTATATCTCTATAAATCTCTTTTATCTCCTAGTTCTTGCCTCTAATTCCTTTTACTTTCCTCCTGTCCCACTATCATGTTTGGCCTTCACTGGGCTCTCGACTTCATTCCTCCCGACTACAATGCACTTGATCAAACCCCACCAGGCATTCTACTCCCTCCTCATCAATGTTAGATCTCTTATTGTTCCCTTGTCCCTGAGTTTGTTGGCTCCCCACTCCCTTTCTCCCCTCCCATGTCCCCCTGGAACCATGGGAACAAGCGGTCCCTGGTTCTCCCCTGGGGATTGCTTATCCTGCCTACCTTATATAGACAGACATATTAAGTAAAAAAAAAAAGCCTGTAAATAGTTCCAGGCCTGACTGTTGACCCTTTGGAGTGTTTTCTGAGCGGGTCTGAAGTAGTGCTATGCCAAGCCCTGCCCTGCCTGCTGAGTCTGAAGTCTGTCCCCGATGGATTCCTTGGAAACTTTGTTGCTTTGCTCCCCTTGCTACTCTGTTGCGCTATGTGTCTGTGTGTGTGTGTGTGGGGGGGGGGGGGTGCGGCGTGGGGATCAGGCCAGGCACAATTCCCGCACTGTGTCATGTAGTATGCTGTTGGTCAGTGAGGTGATGTCATGTCTCCTGGTGGATCCCACCCTGTGGTCCTCTCAGTGCACACTGGCTGCTCCCAGCAGGAATGTTGTTCTAGAGGCTTGGTGGGCCAGGATACAGTTCTATCTCTACCCCCCTCCCTCCCTTAGTTTGCTCTGTAACACTTTTTAATGAGATTTTAAAATAAAAACCCTATCGAGGTTCTACTCTCTATCTCAGCTGCAGGGGCTGGAG